AAATTCTTTTAGTTGTCTACAGTAGTAGAAATGAAATGTTGTTGTTGTTGTTGTTGTTGTTGTTGTTGTCGTTATTAAGCGGAAACCTTCGGGACCTACTCAAGTGTCCGCTTAAGAGAGGTTTTAAAAATTGCGCAATGTTTGTTAACGATTAACATTCAACGGTTACTCTGTAATGTGATAAAGTTCCATGTTGTTAAGGAACCTAAGGAAGCTGTGCTGTACTTTTTGCAAGACTTTAAGGTGAACTTTGATAGCGGATAATATCGGATATCGGTCTAATTCACAGTTTTTTGACAGCTAGATGTATTGATTTATCTTACAGTGCCCCGGGAGGGGGGGGGCACTTGGGTATTTTTTGGGTGGGTATGTGCCGCCCGGGACTCCAAATTGGCACCCCGTTCTAAAAAAAATTTCCCCTAAAATTGATACCCCGTTCTAGAAATGGGCCATTTTTTTATACCCCGTTCTAGAATTCGCCCTAAAACTGATACCCCGTTCTAGAAATGGGCCAATTGTTTATACTCCGTTCTAGAAAGTTTGTAAATTGAAATAGCCCTGTTTTTTTAAAAAGATATTTCTTTATTTGTTCGACTTATACATGAAATAAATGCTTCTTCATAATCAGCAACAATTTTAAGCAGAAGATAAAGCCGCGATCCACAATTTTTTATACCCCATTCTAGAAAACGCCTCTGAAATGGATACCCCGTTCTAAATCAGGAGCTTCAAAATCACGACCCAGTTGGGCGGCACATACCCGTATAGGTAATGTATGGGAGTACCCCCCCCCCCGGGTACAGTGCGTATATCAAGGACATGATCCAATACTACTATTGTCAATTGTAAACAATAGCAATTAGCCAAATACAATTTATTTTAGTGTCCGCGTCCGCTTAATAGAGGTATCCGCTGAATAGGGGTTCGTTATAAAGGGAAATATAAGACGTTAATTTTGGGACACGGCTTGGTGTCCGCTTAATTGGGGGTCCGCTTAATAGAGGTTTCACTGTATTAGATCCATCAGATAATGATACGCATATGTAAAATATGGCACTGTAACATATTCATCCTGGCGGGTAATTCATTTTATAGGTCCACTTACTACTCAAATTAGTGAAAAAAGAAGGAAGTTTAGACAATAAAGCGTCACAACAGGAAAAAAAAAATACCTCTTTTACTTCCCTATAGCGAAGCACTATGGGTAATAAAATTTGGTTATCCAGGCATCCAACAAATTTTGGTTGTGAAAAAATCGTCTGTCCGTACGTACATCCTATTCATGTTAGTGAATGTGAACTGTCACACTTACTAACTTGGGAGTCCAAGGTATATGTTGTATTTAATTTTTTATTTCAGTTTATTTTTGTTTTTCCTTTGTTTCAAATTCATTAGCATCCATTATGGCTTTTGTTAGCATATATTTGATTACCATACCCAAAAATAAAGGGAAAACAAAAATTAACTGAAACAAAAAAATTAACTGCAACATATATATCAGTTAAACTTGATACTGGGTATCCGCTGACTAGGTCACCTGACTGTATCGAGGCCTCAGGTGTACAACTTATTGAGGCTATGTGTTTTTAAAAGTTCTCCGCTGACTAGTTATTGTTTTTTAACTGATTGCAGGCTATTTTTAGGAGGAGTTCTGTTTGCTTCTTGCTTATGGTAAATGTTGAATTACTGCAGATAGACTTTTCTGAAAAGATTCCACGACATCTTCGCTTTTGGACTTGGCTTAATAACAATTATTCACCTCAGTGTCGATGGCTTCGCAGCGTGGTAAATTTTCACTACTAGCCATTTCAACTTCAGTGAATAATTGTTCTATATTATATACCCCTTATTAACCGAGAGTGTAGCCTACGAAGCGCAGACGCATTTCCGGTCGTCGCTTGCAGGCTACCGAGAGTGTGGTCATTACAGGGAAATCTCAGACCAAGGCCTTGATGTATTCACCAAGCGATAGCGAGATTAATACATCAAAATAAATCAAGATACATCGAATCTAGGTGCTTATTCAAATTTCCTCCGTGTATATAATGCACAAATGTAATGGTTTTATAAATGACATTTTAAGCAGATGAAGAGCCACTCAGCGTTAAGCTGAAATAAAGACATAATTATTATGAATGAAAGGTTGTGCGTAAACGTTGAGGTTGAGCGAGGTTCAACGTTAACGTTAACGCGCGATCTTCCAGATTGGACAAGGCATCCAAGCCTCATTCAGACCACAGGGAGCCCGCACAATCTGTTTGTGTAACCGATTGTTATTATAGTAAATGTACTGGATTTACCGTTTGCCTCACCTATAGCGATATATCGCTATAGGTTAAGCAAACGGTAAATCCAGTACATTAACTATAAAATAACAATCGGCTACACAAACAGATTGTGTGGGCTTCCTGTGTTCAGACTGTGAAATTTGAGCGTGATTAAAGAAAAGAGAGTTCAATTGTTCGCTTAAGAGACTTAAAAGAGAGACTTGAGGCCCTTTCAAAAGGTCAAAACTGGCTGGATGTTACTGAAAATTCACTAAAGGCAGGATCCTGCTAAAGAATATTAAAATCACGTCGTAGGGCCATACATCGTGACTTTCGCCCATCGTCTTACACCGAACCTTCAATGTGCAATCTTCAGATAATCATTCAAGCATTTCCTGGCAGCCGTAGTGACTGCCAAGTGAACACAAATGAAATCGTGGCATTTTTTATGTGTTTAGTTTTTTTTTTTTTTTTTTTTTTTTTTAGTTGGGAGGGGCACACGTCTGAACTCCAGTAAAATCCCGAATTCTTTTGCCGTCTCTTGTTTGAAAAAAAAAAATTAGTGAATGTGAACTGTCACACTTACTAACTTGGGAGTCCAAGGTATATGTTGTATTTAATTTTTTATTTCAGTTTATTTTTGTTTTTCCTTTGTTTCAAATTCATTAGCATCCATTATGGCTTTTGTTACCATACCCAAAAATAAAGGGAAAACAAAAATTAACTGAAACAAAAAAATTAACTGCAACATATATATCAGTTAAACTTGATACTGGGTATCCGCTGACTAGGTCACCTGACTGTATCGAGGGCTCAGGTGTACAACTTATTGAGGCTGTGTTTTTAAAAGTTCTCCGCTGACTAGTTATTGATTGCAGGCTATTCTTAGGAGGAGTTCTGTTTGCTTCTTGCTTATGGTAAATGTTGAATTACTGCGGATAGACTTTTCTGAAAATATCCAACGACATCTTCGCTTTTGGACTTGGCTTAATAACAATTATTCACCTCAGTGTCGATGGCTTTGCTGCGCGGTAAATTTTCACCACTAGCCATTTCAACTTCAGTGAATAATTGTTCTATATTATATACCCCTTATTAACCGAGAGTGTGGTCATTACAGGGAAATCTCAGACCAAGGCCTTGATGTATTCACCGAGCGATAGCGAGATTAATACATCAAAATACATCACGATACATCGAAGCTGGGTGCTTATTCACTTTTCCTCCGTGTATATAATGGTTTTATAAATGACATTTTAAGCAGATGAAGAGCCACTCAGCGATAAGCTGAAATAAAGACATAATTATTATGAATGAAAGGTTGTGCGTAAACGTTGAGGTTGAGCGAGGTTCAACGTTAACGTTAACGCGCGATCTTCCAGATTGGACAAGGCATCCAAGCCTCATTCAGACTGTGAAATTTGAGCGTGATTAGAGAAAAGAGAGAGACTTGAGGCGCTTTCAAAAGGTCAAAACTGGCTGGATGTTACTGAAAAATTCACTAAAGGTAGGATCCTGCTAAAGAATATTAAAATCACGTCGTAGGGCCATACATCGTGACTTTCCCCCATCATCTTACACCGCACCTTCAATGTGCAACCTTCAGATAATCATTCAAGCAGTTCCTGGCAGCCGTAGTGACTGCCAAGTGAACACAAATGAAATCGTGGCATTTTTTATGTGTTTAGTCTCCTTTTTTGAGGGGGGAGACTTACAAGAGAAGGAAAGAGTGTTTATTCACAGAGATATCACGGTAATACGGTGACACTTAAGATCCACTTCGAGATATTGAACCAACCGAAAGGAAAATAAAATAAAATATTTATATGCATACGCCATGGCGCTCTTGACGGCACCAAATGGATTCTCCGAGTTGGTCCATTAATTTAATTGTGACTTATTTTCCCTTGGAACTGAAAACGGATCTGTTTTGGATAGGAAGCGAAGGAAACAAAATAAAGAATCATAGATTACAATGATGGATAAAAGCCAAGAACTGCCTCGGTTGCCAAATTCTGTATCAATAAGTGAATGAATATGTTACGAAATCTTAGTTGTAGTTCTGTCTAGATTATCTACCTTGATACAGTCTTTAGTAAATATCTAATAATAATAATAATAATCAAACAACCCTATGAGTCTTTGAGAAGGAACCCATCTATCGACTAAGAAAGAAGAAAAAGCCTTTTGCTCTAGGACGTGTCATGAGTTTACAATTAAGGCCAAAATAATGCTATGCATAAAATAGTACTAATCTATACATGATATTGATGACAAAAGTGTCACGACATTTGAAGTTACCGTACTGTTGGTCGGTAGCCTGAGAGTAAAAACTGGCAAGTGACTACAGTTTCTAGACGTGTCCAAGTGGCAAAGTTAAAGCATTTGCTCTTACACGGGGTAATTAAAAGATCATTAACTTGAAATCTTTCCGCATCATGTTAATAATGGCTAACTTATGGAATCGGATTAAATATACACGGAAGTTGATGTCACGCAAATCCCTTAAGTCACATTAAATTGGCCAAGCGAGCTTGATGGTGTCAACTTTAAATGCCATTCCCGGAAAATAGGCTCTTTAACAAGCTTGTTTTGAAATACTTCTTTACAGTTGATAGCTCGAAACTTAGTATGACTTGAAACGGGACTATTTAAAGCATCGGCAGTGTAGTTCCGAGCTGCAAGGAAGTGTAAAGGTCGGACGAAAAATCAAGAAGATATAAAGACGAGAACATGAAGTCCGATGCGTTGCGATATTCGATGTTTGCAATATGGCTTCTCGATTTCACAGGTAAGTACACTGTTAACAAAGTTGGAAAACATTAAAATGTTTAAGTGCCTTTGTATTGCAACAATGGGAAAGTGCTCAGATATCTTACACAGTGTGGAGGGAACTGGTATTTCCAATATCATTTTTATTCGAGGTAAAATCTTATAGTAATGCGGAATTTTTATTCCCTTCGGATCTATTCCTAACCGGGGTTAATGATGATGGTAAAGTGTGCCAGGCAGCTTCCAGATTGTTCTACAAGTTGTCGGCTGGCAAATGAATACGCGAGTCATTTCCCTTGCTATATAACCCAACATTTCGGTCGGTTTTCAAACACGTAGCAACTATGACAACAAAAACGTAGATGTAGGCCACCTCAGGTTTTATCGTCACACTGTGAATGCAAATTGCGCCGGCACTGATGCAAATCGGCGACAATAAGTACTTGACTGAAAATTGCTATGTCATTAACTCATTAGCAACAGCATGCACGCGCGCAATTCCTTTGAAATGTTAACAACAATATGTAATTTAAGTGTAGGATTTTCCTGGTTATGGCTTCTCTTTAAGCCCGCTCTTGTTGTTGTTATTATAAGTTTAAGCAAAACGAAAGCCTTGGATACGGAAACGCGCACGTTTTGATGTATTTCTGAAAGTCGAAACTGCATATTGGATCTTGAAGAGTCGATTTACCAATTCTAGAATTGCTAATACAGAAAGAGACCGCGAGTTTCGGAAGTATAACACCTATAACTAGGAAGTACAACACTTTCATGTGACACAGATATGGCCGGAACAGAGACGTCAATTGAACGTGGGAGTTTTAAAAACTTTCGCTTTTTATATTTACCAAAAAAATCCCTGCCTTAAATTCTCAGAGGGGGACTTTTGTCCATTTTTACTAAGCCGTTTCTCGAAAGCAATAAGGGCGACCTTTTTTAAGTCTAAGAAGAAAATAATTTTAAAAAATACTCATTGCAATATCGTTATTATAACTGTTTGTCTATGTTCTGCAGCCGTCTGCCAAAAAAATTCACATACATCTCCCCCACTAAGAGGCTCAGAACTTCTAACTGGGAATTCCAGCTGCTTAATAATACAAACAATGACATCTAGATCGTTTTTACACCCACTGAATGATGAAGAGGCAGACAAAAATAATAATACCCTTAAGATATTTCTAATTATGAGTATTTTAAAAGTAAGGAAAAAGCAAATACTCATCAAATATAAGCCGTTCCTTTGGTTTTTTCGTTTTCAGTTGATGCCTTTAAAAGGGTTCAAGAAAAAACCTTTTAAGAGACAAAAACGGATTATAGGGCCCTCGGTAACTGTATAAATGTTGATCACAAATGCTTTGGTATTGGGCAAATACCTCGGATAAAACGAACATTCAGAAATTGCAACTTGTAAAGAATTTTGCGGCTAGAATCATCTCAGGTATCAGGAAGTACGATCACATTTCAGAAGGCTTAAGACAACTGCAATGACACTTTACTATTATTATTCTCTAGGGACTCTATGATGACATTCAAGTGCATTAATGGGCTTGCACCTGATTACCTTGCCTGTAATTTACTTAAGCGATCAGATATCCACACTCGAAACACCAGGTCTTGCAATAACCTAAACATCCCCAAATATACAACAACCAGTGGCCAGCGCCCTTTCACGTATAGAGTAGATAAGATATGGAATACACTAGACTCTGATCTTAAAGGGGAAGGCAATCTCAGTAAAATTCAAGAAAGACGTCAAACTAGCTTGCCTAGCGGCCTGAGGCATATAGCACTCGCTACTCTGTCATTATCTTGCTTTTATTGTCATATTTATCATTTAGTTAGTCAATCGCATCATAGTTCGTTAGTATTAGCATTAATTTTTCATCCAATCATATTTTTAATTAGTAAAATCCAACTAGTGGTCTATTATCAATGCTGCGTTCTGATTGGTTGAGCTAGTACTAGGCTATATGTTATAGCCCACTAGAAGCGAAATGCGCGGGCTTTTTGGCGGCAAAAAAGGATTAAAGTCTAGCTTTAACTAGCTAAAATTTTTTTATTCCCGTTATTTTTGACCAACTAGTTGGATTTTACTAAAACATTTATTCCTCTCGCCCTCATGGCCTCTGAGTCAATAGCCCATGAGGCCGAGCCCATTCGGGCTCGACGAATAATTGTTAAATAGCCGTTGAAAAGCCCTCTTGGGAACCTCTATTACAGATATGTGTGTATTTATGTATGTACTGGTAAACATGGAAATCTACGTTGTTGCCAATAGGCCACTTGCACTATGATGCATTTTACTATAACTACGACTAGAATCCTTCAGGCTTTTCTTTCTTGTGCAAATTAGTGCTTTTGTTATTTGAATCTCGCCGGGATTAACAAATTTAAATACAAAAGGAAAAACAAAAAGGATTCTGGTCGCGGTAGTAAAACGACACCATCGTGCAATCGATTCGATTTGATCGATTCGCGTCCACACTAACGTTTTGATGCGTTTTCGACTATCAACACCAAAACGTTCAAAAACGATAAAATTGCACGTTGTAACTTAATTTTAACTCCATGCCCATGCTACCAACACACGCGCCTGCGATATTTTCGGTCATTGTTTTCATTTTGATGCGTTGCCGAGCGTCCACACCAACACGATATGTACGCGTTTTCGTTTTGACCCACTCGAGCGTTTTCAAATCGAACCGTTTTCGATGAAAACGCTCATCGTATTAGTGTGGACGGAAGGCCTAAAAGCATCGAATGTATGCGTTTTCAAACGAAAAAGCGTTGGCCTGGTTTTCACTAGCGCATAAGCATAAGCACAAGGACAAGGACATACGCACGCGCAGAATGGCATACTTGCCTCAATTCTCGATACCAGGTCTCCTCAACCCAATGATAAACAAGATGGCGGACTAGGTCCGCCATATTGCTTTTGATATGTTCGCATGAGGTCTGGGTCAAAGTGACCTATGATTGGTCCACGGCCTTGTGCTTATGCCTGTGCTTATGTCGACCCAGTTTTCACTAGTNGACACCATAGTGCAAATGGGGCGTCTGGAAAAGCCGGAAACCGGAATCCGGAATAGGAACGGGAATGGGAACAGGAAGCGGAAACGGCAACGGAACAGGGACAGTAATGTGAAGGGGAACCGATACAAGAACAGGGACATCATTTACCTTATATTATTTTAATTCTGATTCAATATTGATACAAAGAAAAAGAAAACTAGTCTGGTATCATGCTCCCCCCCTGACTCTCTTTATATTACAGCAACGAGAAGGTAAAAAAAGCAGCAAGTAAAATAAGTAAAGCAACAGCTTTGCGAGTGCATTGTGCTTTCTGTCAATTTCTTCACCATCCATGCACAACTACGATGTAAATGATCAAATCTTAAGTTTTCTTGAGAACGTGAACGGCAGGCGATAAATTTTATTGTGTCTTTCTGAGCTCGGACGCGGTCTCCAGCTTCATTTCCCAACGTTTAAAAGACTGGACAATTTGGAATTAATGAGAAATAGTTTGAATTAAGACCCGAATTCAATTTCTCAGTGATGGAAGTAGATGTTTTCTATCCTTCGGAGCTCTTACTCAACAAATTCGCACAGTGGAAGGTAAGAGGAAGAATTCAGACAGAAGCGTTCCATCAAGCGAAACATTAAACTTCCGGTTGCTATTCATGAAGCCCGCGACGGTCAGCGTTCTCGTTGTTTAAGTTCGCTATTATGTTTGACACGAAAACACAATGTGTCACTGGCTGAAGATAAAGAAAGGTTAATTAGATTAACATTTCAAGGGTGTTTTCTTGTTTCTTTTATTATTTCTCTGGCTTTTTATTTAAATCACGATTATACCTTTTTCTTTTCATATTTCTATACACTGTTTATATTCCCCTTCCTATTTCGGTTCCTATTATATTTTTCCCTTATTTTTCGTATGTAATCTAAATAGGAATTAAATGCAGATTAACTTAAATTAAGGTAAATGTTGTCCCTGTTTTTATATAGGTTTCTCTTCCCATTCTGATTTTTGTTCCGGTTCCGCTTCCTGTCCCTGTTCCTATTCCCGTTCCTATTCCGGATTCCGGTTTCCCGCTTTTCCAGACGCCCGTGCAAATGGCCTATTACACTGAAAAATCTCAAACTGGCCATGCAAGATGTTTTAAAGGGACGCACTCAGCTGATGCACATGCACATTAGACACCATTTTTAAGGTTACTGTATTTGCACATCACAAGATACACGATTCATACTCTTTTTAACCAAATGTGATAACATAATATTAAAGGATAAGTAAACGAATACTCAGGAAAAGGTTTCCAGTAAAATATCGAAGATCAAATGAAACACTAGGCAAGATTGAAGGGGATTTCTACATGTATTCGACGTGAATTTGATTTCGAGTTGAGGTAAACGCTTTTCAAACTTGTAAAACTATTGTCCAGGTCAGCGCAGTCCCACAGCTGTCTGGGACCCTTAACGGCAACGCGCCTGCTCATTGGAAGCATGGTGCCTCTAGAACTGACAGGCTCAACACCGCTGACAAGGGCTGCGCTCGATAGCCAATGGAGGCTTAGTTTTGTTCTTGAGAAACAACGAAAACCTACGTTTTAGCCTGGGCACCCCGGATTAACTTCACGTTTTCCTTAGTCAACTGTTGAACTTGGCCGTCAATCAAATTAAGGCTCTTACAATAGGCTATTTTCACGATCCTGTCATCTGACAACAACTACACGACAAGTGCACGATAGCATCATCATGCTACTGCTACTACTACTATCAGAATCCATTCGTTGTCCATTCATATTTAATGTTGGTAATCTCATCGACGTTTCAACAACAAAAGCCCACATTTGCACAAGAAAGCAATACAGAAGTAATAGTGAATGAAGTTATCGTGCAAATGAGCTCCCTAGGTTTTAGCTTTTAGGCCCCCTACGGTTCGCCTTAGAGCACAAAATGCAATGAAAATAATGGCCTCCTCGGGCCCCGCTTTTTTTCTTTCTCACCGACTCTTCACGAACGGGGAGTTGACAAGTTCATATATACATCCCTTTTCCTCTCTCAGCACCAAGCATCGGAGACGGATTAAAATGCTACACCTGCTTCTCAAAAAAATCCTGGGATGAATGCGAGAAGGAAGAAGAAAAAAGCGTGTGCCCACCAGGTGACAATGACGTCTGCATCAAACTTCATCTAGTGGAGCACGGTGAAGAGCCGGGGGATTATAATGAAAAATTTGCAAAGATGTGTGGACGAGCACAACTGTGTACCAATAAGGAATGCAAAGAAAATGGAAAGTCCTGCAAAGTTGACTGTTGTCATAACGATTTTTGCAACTCAATGGCGAAACTATCGACTCGGTTGCCAATCATGCTACTTCTTCAGTTGTTGATTTTGATTGTGACGCATTTCATACAGTTGCCATGGTACTGCGGCTAAGCACCATCAGGCTTACCCAGGTCAGTGTAAACTCTACTTAGTACGCAGGAACCCTTAAAATCACTTACGCTTAGAGGCTGAATAGAAAAAAATTAAAATATTATATTTGAACTTGCTAGTGAGCGTTCAAGCTTCTTCGGACAGTGCCTACAGCTGATATAACGGTAATATTTTTTTTGACAATGCGTGATAAAGAGGACTCCGCCAAATATGTTAACGTTATGGGTAACAAGGACTTTTATAGAGATATTTTTATGGTTAAAGACAGAGGAAACTTGTTAACAAAAATGAAGATCACTTTTACACAAAACACAGGCGAGCGAACCATAATGTTCTTTAGCGATTTCAATGTCTGCACAGTCGACTTCCTTTTACTAATAACTTGTCATTAAATGACAGATCTGCTGGTTCTGAAGGTACAACAAACGTCACGTAATTCCTGCCACCATGATATAAAGGACAGTTCTACTGTCCCCAAAAATGTCGACCATCATACAATATGCCTACCTCTATAATACGGACAACTCTCTATTACAGACAGTAGTTCAATTCACGGTCAGAAAGATGGCAAACTTCACACAATTCCTCCCTACTATAATTTGTCTCTATTCTAGACAATTCTCTTGGTCCCAGGGGGTACCAAACTTCACACAATTCCTCAATGAATGAATACTTAATTATCCTTTCCCCTCATGGGGCTTTTCAGGGATAGTGAATGAACCAATAATTCAAATGAAACATAACATAACTAAGAATACGAACTGGTAGGAGGCAAACCTCTATTTACAAGGGTGGCCGAGGATTTGAACACGGGACTACTGAGAACAAATCCAGTTAGCGGTAAGGGCGGGAATTGAACTCGGGGACTACGGATCACAAGTCCAGTGCTCTAACCACTCGGTCACGCTGCCTCTGTGTTACGAACACCTCTCTAAATGGAACCTTCCTTTCCTTTCTCCCTCGCGCACCCAAATTCCCCCTTCCCCTTCCACTTTTAACGCCTGCCACGCAGGCAACTCTCCAAACAGACAGTTCTACTGGTCCTGCCAGTCAACTCTCGCCTTGCGGAGACCACGACAATACCGATAGCAGCTAAATCCCACACAAAAATAAATTACAGACATCTGACTGAAATAAACTACGGACTCTAGTTAATAAGGACACTAACTCGAGGTCGCTGCAGTGTCCACTGTAAAGAGAGCCGACTGTAATTCCTAGCTCTGTAATACAGACACTCCTCTATTACGGACAGTTCTAATGGCCATTAAGATGTCCTACTTCACACAAGAAAGGTAACAATAGCCGAAAACATTACACTCTTTATTTGTAAGAATGTTGAGGTTGAAAATGGCAACAACTTCGCAACATCGTAAAAACATTACTCAAGCAAAAAGTTCGCTCAAAAACATGGTATCATTTCATTCAGTTTCAACGTGAAGAATAAGGAGGATTTCTAAAACAAATACAGTTAATGTTTGGCTGAGAATTCGTACGCTACCTCAAAAGATGAGGTAAATGTTGTTTAGGCCTGACCATCCCGTTATTGCATCACGGGGCATTTTTAGAACGTTTTCGACGCTCAAAATCGTCCTTAAAGTAAGAGCGTTTAGTCCTGGTCAGCCTTTAATTAAAATGAGACGTTCAAATGAAGAAATATAGAGTTTAGACTAATAACATCAAGGTTTGCACGACTAGCACAAGTACAGAAGCCACTCCAGCGGATGGCGGTGGAGGAAAAGTCTCGCGCTCGCTTACCAAGGACGATTTCAACCGCTTAACACTACAGCTGAGCGATCCTTTGGAAAACTTCGAACTTCTAATCTTACAAAGAAACAAAAGATTGAGCTGCATTATTCAACATGGGCGCTTTCCATTCAACCAAAACATTGAGTTTGAATTGTCGGCAACTTCCAGTAGCGAATGGAACAGCACTTTAAAAAATTTCCAAAAAAAGGACAACCTTGCGTGGTATACTCAAATTTTCGAAAATGTCTTGCAGAAAGTTTTCTTTCCATTCAACTTTGCTCCGGAATTTTCAGAACTTTCGGTTGAATGGTTCGCATTTCAGAAATTCAACGGTTCTCGGACTTTCTGGAAATTATCCCGGGAAATTTCCGCACCATCCCCATTCGCCACCGTTTCTAAATATTTGGAAGTTAAGGTCTAATGGAAATCACCCCAGACCTTCTTTACAAGTACGTGGGGATTAATTGGTCAATAAAATTGTCATGTGACAGAAAACAGCTGATGAAAGCGGCAAAAACAAGTGCCCGTGGCCGAGTTATAAACAATGAGACGTAATGGATTTATGGGCACACGATTATTTACATTCAGCTAATTCAAAATGCCCTTCGCAGTATCCTTCATCATCAACAGCTCCTTCCGTGGATACATTCAAAGGATCATTCCATTTTTCCTCGCGATATCCTGACCTGTGTACACATGTTTCCTTGAAAATCTCCTGACGGAGGGCAGAAGATAACCTCAGTGTCATCAAGGCCACAACCGGGGAAATCTAAGTGAATCCTTACAACTCGTAGACATGCCTTTATTCTACAATTTAAATGTATGAACCCTTCCCAGTTTTCCCGTTTGTGGTCTCATCGTTTACAGTATATTGTTGTTTTGGTAAAACGTTTTTGCCATCTAGAGTAAACTGTTCCACGATCAGCGCTCGCGAAACATACGACTCCCGCGTTTGCTATGATTTAGAACAAGGTATTATTGCGTATTGCTTACAAGCAAACACCGTCAAACACAATCTTAATAAAACGGCAACCTGTCGAACTAATTTTTTTTTGTATACACGAAAAAAGACATGACAATTTCATAATTATCATATTAATATTTAAAAATTTCAAATAAACAAAAATTAAACAAAACACAAATGAAGAAGCGATCGATCCATCGAGCAGAATCTCGCAGAATCGGACTACACAACGCTATTTACAATGCATTAACCCCTTCACTTCTACTAAGCCAAAGTGAATTTGTTTAAAAATATTCCATATCTCTTATCGTAAAATTCGGGAATGTAAAAATAGTACTATGCAGAGCTTCTGTCAAAGATGCACATCACATATTTCCTCCACGTATGCATGACAAAACATCTCACCTATTTTTAAAATTTTTTAATTTTTAAAATTTTTAAGCTTAGAAAGGTTATAACCAGAGGCATAGCGCGCCTGGGGATTTGAGGCGGGGGGGGGGGGGCCAGCCCAAAAAAAAAAATGGCTCCAAGGGGGGGCGGGGGAAAACCCTTGGGGGGAAGGGGGGGGACTTAAAAAAATCCTTTAACTTTTTGATTTGAGGGAATGGAGGAAAAGGAAAAAAGTCACCAAAAAGCCAAAAAACCAGCGTGGCGGACGTTAAAAAAAAAATAAAGATTTTCCCGGGGAAGAATGCCAGGGGGGATAGAAAAAAAAATCCTTTACTTTCTCCAATGAGGGCACGCAAAGTAAAACAAAAAGAATCACAAAAAACAAAAAAACCTCGGTGTAGAGGTTTTAAAAAAAAAAATGAATTTCCCCCGGAAAAAAGGCCCCGGGCCCCCCTTTTTAGGGGGGAGGGGGTATTTTTAAAAATTTGTGGCCCAAAAGGGGAAGGTGTCGCGCCCCCCCCCCCCCCCCCCAAAAAAAAAATTACTAATGAAGAGGGAGTCATCATGTATATACTACAGGAGCTATAACTAACCATCAAATACCAACAGCCTCCACCCCCCGGCTTCCCCATAAAAAAATGAACGATAGGTTTCCTCTTTTCGCTTCTCTGACTCTCTTCCCCCTCACCACAGAAACGCACCTGATACTCAGGCTGCCAGAGGCCAAAATAGCATATCTCTCAAAGTTACTTAGCGAGGTTTGGCGCCCATCCAGTGACAAATTAACTCTTTGATTATGGTTCTTGTTGTCGTGTGAATAGATTATATATGCACCCTGAATGAAAATTCGATTTTCCGGTTGCCACTCATGACGCAAAAAAGACTGTTTTCTTCTCCATACAAATTCCTCCACTTTAGTTGTAAAGATACTTCTCAAATGAACAACACTTGAGTACCGTGGAGACATTGTTTAAAGCCGCTATAAAGCTACCTTGACAAGCGGCTTAAATTTCGCAAACAAAACCAGCTAATCCACCTTCCAAATGGCAAATGGCATAGCAAATAAATATGAGCACGCATTAAATTTAGATAAATAGCCTTTTATGTTCGTTTGAAGAGGAAAATTGATAATAGGATAACAAACGTTCATCTTCTTTTCTCCAACTGAAGAGAGCTGTATAAGCACTTGAGGACAAGTTTCACTCCGATTTCAGTGCTTTTACCGTCAATTATTCCGGATTCATATGATGGAGATACCGAGAGTCATACTGTTTCTGTACCTTCTTACTCGACTAGCAATCACTTATGGCAAGTCTGTAACTGGTTAGTAAGCGATTTTTTTCCTTACACCTCATAATTCAATGCATTTAATAACTCTATTCCGCGCGCGTTATGACGGCGGATTCAATAACAAAAAAAATGGAGCGCACTAAATAAATATCGACGAAGGAAAATGATTGTTAGGAATCCATTTTTTACATAACTCCGCGAAACTTAGTATTCGAAGGGCGCTCAACCTCAACAAATAAGAAAGAGATGATGTTTTTTGCGAGTCAAAACCAAACAGCGTCCACAGAAACATTCAGCCACGTGTTTATAACTTCGAAGACCGCTGGGAAAGTGTCCGCAAATTCGCTGCCACGTTTAGGGAAATTTAGAGGCTTCGCGTGTGAGTCAGGATTCGTTTACTGTTTTTGTATGTCACAGACATTAGTTTCAAAAATATTAAAAGCCATGCAAGCACTGTGTTTTCAGTGTGTTCGCTTGGTGTAGTTGGTTTATTTCATAATGGCAGTTTTCGCCTTAAAACGCCATAACCTTGAAAGCTATAAACGTTTACAATGTTTGAAAATCAGATTGGTGAAATCTAACAAATCCTACTTATCAGTGTGAAGAATATTCATGTTTACGGGGAGTTCGCGTGACCCCTACATCAACTTCTGTAAATATACGGAAAATTCTGTCTTCGCATAAAATGGAGGATTTTCTCATCAGATAACTAGGTTCAATTTCACCATCCTCTCGCCGTCGATTGTTTGCCAACAACTACAAAAATAATTAACTAAACTTGTTGGATAATTAACTCAACGTCGTTCATTTTTCCTCGAAACAACACCAGGCAGTGCAAGGCGAAACAAAAAGTTTACTAGAAGTGCATGTTGGCATAGTGCAACGGGGAGGAACTACTATAGCGAAGATAGAACGCGAAGAAACCAGGAAGAAACTCGCTCGTCTGTTTCGGGTGATCTTCGTTCCCAAATTTTTTTGTGAACGCCTTGTAAGACTGTCAATGTTATCTAAATGATTCAATGCCGCCTTTGTAATTTGCAGTATATTGGGAAAAACCAAACGCCGCCTCAAGGACCGTTTTAATGAACATAGACGCCCTATCCTTAACCCCTCCGGTAGTTACATTCAAACCGCAGTTTCAGAACACTTTCCCAGCATCAGCCACTCTGTTTCCCATATGTTACTTATCTCAATTGAAACACTTAGATATGGGCGCGCTTGTCTTAGAAAAGAACGCAAGATGAACCTCATTAATAAACCCAAAACCATCGAGCCTCTGCGAATGAACAAACGTGACGAACAAATAATCATTGTGTATTCCTTATCTTTCTTTCGATTTTTGTTTCTTAGCAGCCACACCTTACCACGTCATACCATGTAACTTCCGTTTAATATTTTACAGTAGTATTTTTTTGCTTTAATAAGATGAGTACAGTTTTTTAAAAGAACACAACATTTTTTTTATCGAATAAGCATTTCCCACATTTCATGACCTGCTAGCTATGTTTAATAAGCCAATTGCATAATACGGGGAAATTACAAAAGGTGGAGTGACGACAAGCAATGCCAATAAAATAGGAAGTTTCAGAAAAAAGCCAAAATTTCCTCGTCATATGATTGACATGTTATTGCAAACTTATGCATCGACGGAAGTACAGTCACTTAACGATAACTGACCCCAATGACAACTTTATATCCTGTATAACAGGCGATCTTTAGCCAAGCGTCAAGCTAGCGGAAAAATTTCTGGTTTACACCCAGCGGAGAGTCCCTGATAAGATTCTTCCACCCGTCATCGCGACCACAATTTTCGCTCTAAACCCGTAATCCCGATGGATCCTTTCAGCACTTAGGTATCCCGAGCATGCTATCAATCACGAATCTTGCCCCCCTATCACTTTAAAATCCCGAATCCCAACCTTCACATAAGGCGAATCCCGCATCCCGGAAAACCTATTGGGGTCCCGCGCTATGCTCTCGAGCTTCGCGCACGGCGAAATAACACCTGCAGGCTAGCAGATTACCAACTGTGCTGTTTCGGCGGGCTTATCACTTAGTAAGACTAAAATGTTTCACTGAACTACAAGTTAATGCGGTTTACATCAACCTTACGACAGGTGCGAACTGATTCCGAGTTCCAAAAAATCTCACTTTCAAAACGAGGCTAAGTGCGAAACCTTTGCTGTGAAAATGAGTTTTATTTGCATCATAATTTTTAACCATTTTCATAACAATGGCTTCGTACTTAGCCCCGCTTCGAAAGTGAGATTTTTTGGAACTCGGAAATGGCCTATTTGATTTTGACTAGACTAGGATAAACTTATTTTCACTTCAAAATTATGAGTTTGCTTTCCTCAGAGGTCTGATTTTCATCTTCGTAAACATGGGACCAGTTGATATAAATATTTGAAGAAGATTTTTTTTCGGTTTCAGCTGCCTTGAACTGAGTTATACTGCATTTTATCCTTTGGTTATAATTATTAGTTTTAAAAGATCCTTTATGAACTATGGTTAACAATGGTATGGTAGCGAGATGCGTCATTTTAATATACATGTAAACTTTCCTGAGAGAGTAAATTTTTACCGCGGCAATTATAAAAAGTGAAGGATTATAACACCGACCGCAATATTCGCATTAGAGTGACCGCAAAGTTACATAACCACTCCAAAGTATAATGCCCCACCGCAATTTCTAAGAAAATAAGGACTTTTCAAACGTCCCTTCACACTAGTACAGCCTTGTTGACCACCAAAGAGCAAACAATAAACGAAAACTGACAACAAATCCATAATATGCTCTATCGATGTGGACTATATTGCGCAAACAAAGTGAATATATTAAATATGAACACGCATCAATGCAAACAGAAAGCTTTTAGTGACTCAAACGTTAGCTTAAATTGTCAGTATTGCAAGAGTGACCGGTCCGTGGGGAAGGAGAATTTTTATGTTTTCCCGCTTCTCACCAAACACCCTCGTAAAAACTCTCAGGCACAAATAAACGGGCCTGCGACGCTCATAAATAGCCTTAGGCCTCATAGTTCCCTGCTGTCAGCGGTCTCTTAAAGCTAGAGAAAAATGAGAGTAAGGTGAGACAGATCTCTGCCGGTTTCCGACGAGTTTCTTTTTATGCATGCACTGGCGTTTTCTTAACAACCAGGCCCCAGTTGTTAAAAAGGTGGATAGCACTATTCACTGGATAAATCACTATCCAGTGGATAAGCATTAGGAAAACCAATTGCGTTATCCAGTGGAAAGAGATTAATCCAGTGGATAGCGCTATCCACCTTTAGAACAACTGGGGCCAGGTTGCGTTCCACAAAATTTACTTAAGGCCATCCCCTTTTTTTTCGTTTAGCGTCCAAAGCGTTTCCTGATATTGGGTGGGTCGGTCGGTCGGATTGAAAAAATAAGACCTTAAAAAAAAATCACAAGAAGTCTGAGAATATGAAGTCCTGGTACCCCAGGATGACATTCACATATTTGGATTAATAAACTGCACAATATACTGTAAAAAATGTTCCTGTCTTTGTTCCTGTTTTTCCCTATGCTGTTACTATTCTCATTTTTCAGATTAAAATAATTTTTTCAAGTAAAAAATGGTTTCACTACGTCGTTACTTTTTTGTTGTTTTGAAAATGCCAAAAATTTGGGTCGGTCGGACGACGATAAACGGAGAAAAAAAGTGGATGGCCTAGCCGGTTTGTGCGATAACAAATGTGGCCACAGAAATTTCCGGCGTACATTCTCAACAGGGCACCCGCATTGCACTTTGAACGAAACTGGTTTTGAAAACCAGTAAGTTCGACCACAAATTCTAGTCGGCGGCTCCATAAACGAACGCGTCGGTGGCCGGCAGAGCCAGTCTCTCTCCTTCTCCTATTTTTGTCTCGCCTTTAGAGGCCTCTGCTAGTAGGGAAGCCTCGTACTCTATATTTTGTTAATAAAATCCAACTAGTGGTCTATTATCAATGCTGCGTTCTGATTGGTTGAGCTGCTACTAGGCTATATGTTATAGCCCACCAGTAGCGAAAAGCGCCAGCTTTGAAACCAAAACAATGGCGGCTGAATGGCGTTTTGCTTGTTAAAGTTGTTTTGTCCTGATATTTTTCACCAGCTAGTTGGATTTTACTAAAACAATTGTTCCTCTCGCCCTCATAGCCTCTGAGTCAATAGGCCCAATTCAGAGCCCATTCGGGCTCGAGGAATAATTGCTAATTAGACATAGGTAATCGTCTTTACAAAGGATGCGTAGACTACTAAATGCGAGTGTCGTCTCAAGGGGAACGATGCAAAAGAGTATATGATGACCTGAGGGGTTAAAGGAAGAGGTAGCCTGCGTCGCAGACGTAATTTAACCTTGGTAAGTAACGTCTGCGAAACAGCGCCGATATCCTTATTCTGGGCCCTCAACGAATCACCGGAAGTGCGTTTCGAATTTCCCTTCAACCTCATTGGCAGATCGACAATGGCTTTAATATCAGGCCAATCATGGCGCGTAGTCAAAATGGCGACCCAGAGCAAGGGTCCGGCGCTGTTTCGCAGACGGACTTAACCAGAGTTTGGTTTCGTCTGTGGCACAGGCTGTGGAAGACGCAATTTGAAAGGCGATTGAGTAGAAGCAGGGAGTGGAGATACTCAGTATTAAAATCAGGAGCCCATAACCCGGAGCGAGTAACTCCCATACTACGCCTCTGTCACGGCGTTTTTACTGACCAGTTTATTTTTAGACACATTTTAGGGCACTTTTCCCCGCAAAAATGGAATCTCCACCATGTCTACGAGCGCATTCGAAGTATGAGATATCAAAAAAGGTAAAAATATCATTTTTAGGTATGTAGGTTTTGCGAACTGGTTTGCGGAATTTAAAAGGTATACAAAATTCGCGCCAAAACCTTTCTAAAAATAAACTAGTCCGTGAAAACGAGCGCATGGAAGTTGCTCTCTCCGGGTTAATTATGGGCTCCTGTTAAGATAACGTAAATGCAGGTTTGAAAATATTTACATCTCTTCACAGATAACAAAGAAGAGCGCTCGCTGTCCTGCTACCATTGTTACTCTAACAAATCGTGGGAGAACTGCAATGATCAGGTCAAAGGAGTGATATGTCCAGACGATAATAATGTGTGTACGGAGAAAAAGATAACCAGGAAAATAAAACAAAACGACAAGCGAGTACAGATAACAGAGTTTGTCAAGCAGTGTGACCACGCGGAAGGCTGTTCAGACGAGGAATGCAAAGAGCTTGGATGGAGTTGCGTTGTGAAATGCTGCAACCAGGACATGTGTAACACCTGTGTTGTCAACACTGCAAGCCTCGTTGTCATGGCAACTGCAATCTTAACAGGGTTGTCTTTGGGGCCATGACCCTTGTTCTGATCTCGCACAATTTCACAGTTGACATTACAGTACAAAGCATTGTTAGCCAAACAAGAGACTGCAAACACTTTGGGAAATGTTATGGGAAAAGATTTGTAAATACTATGCTTAAGGATAGTATACACCTGCGCCGCAAGCAATATACGCAGACGCTGAGTAGTGGCTATTAAGTACTTTCGGCAAGGATTTCGTTCCAACAAAGGAAGGTTCGATTTCTTCGCAGCATAAGCGTATAGCGTTCGCATTTGCCCGTGATTTCTTCAGAAATTTTTTAGCTCAGGAAATGTGACGTTATACCACATACTGCAACTGAATCCAACCGAAATTTATTTCAGATTCCGGTTTCTCAAACTCATTAATAATTCATAAAGAAAATGCAAGGAAATTTAAAATATTTAACGAGTGTTTGGAAATCAGATTAAAAAGTGCTCATATTTGCATCCTTAATTTCTCCTTTTAAGATCCTTTTGTTTGAGAAGTTATATCAAGCATTCGACACAGTTTCATCAAAAGATGAGTGAATGGACTCCACAGTGAGTTCAAAGGGTTACAAATGTTGAATGCTGTTAGATGTTTTAAAAAAACTGTTCACGTTTTAAAGCTTTTCAGTTCATTCATTACTCAGACGCACTGACGGTTCTGTATATTCCTCGTTGAACAAAAATGAAAATAATGATAATAAATAATTAGCACTAAAAAAAGAAAAGGTGTTCATGCTATTAACGTTTTGCAAGCATGGTCGTCCTTCCTATGGTTATTCTTTCCTTCTCCTTTGCTGAGGGGGTGGGTGGAATTCAGCCTCGTCCCCAAGCCACTTCGCGCTATCCGAGTGAGCAGAGGTGCTGCGAATTTTCCGAAAAGCTAGACAAGTGACGTCACATCCGAAAATCGCCGAGGATGACTGGGAACGAGGCTGGGTGAAACTGGGTGCATAACAAGGAAAAAGCTTCTGAGTTCGAGTTTTTTTTTTTCACTTCTCTCAAGGTATTGAAAGAAAAACACAACACTGTAGTTTTCCCGCCTCAGGAGAAACAAATAGGGACCTTACGACCCGACAACGGCGACGCCAATGAAAACGCCGCGAGAAAATAGACTTCACATCCTCTGAAACTTTTTCTACCTTTTACCAAGTCAACCGGTTACCTGAAAGCAGGGAAGTCAGGTTGGAACTGAAGAGAGGGGACCGCGTCCGAGTTCAGACCGAGATAGTAAAATTTAGCGCCTTGCCGTTCCAGTTCTCATGTCAACATAAAATTTGGTCATTTCACGTCGTTGTTGTGCAGGAACGGCGAGGAAATGAACAAAAAAGCGCGATGCACGTGCAGAGTTGTTGTTTTGCTCATGAAACCCATTGGGCTTTACACGTTCCCGTTGCCGTCGCCGTCGTAGTTTCGTAAGGTCCCTACTCCCATTTCTGGTACGGTAAAACGGGCGACAAAAAACATGCAACATGTCTTGCAACGTTGCTGTAAAACGAGTTGAATAGCAATGCTGCGCGTTTTCCACCCACATCAAACCCGTCTTGCATCAAATCGGGTTGTTAACAGGTTTGAAAGTGGGTGGTAAAACACGCAACATCGCTATTCAACTCGTTTTGCAGCAATGTTGCAAAACAAGTTGCACCTTTTTTGTTGCCCGTTTTACCGAAGCTTGCAAATTATAGCAATACGCGTCTATCTCATCAGCTTCATTCTATTTCATAGCATTCTCCTCGAAAAGTAACACTTCAAATTCAATCTCAAACGTGCGACTACTTATTAAACAAGTTACCAATAGCTCTTTGAAATGCAAACAAAAATGCAAAAGACACTTAAAAGGACATCAACAGATATTTAAAAAACTAGGCAAGAAAACATCATCTTCACAGTGCAACAGGCATTAGGTACATCATCTCAAAAAAACACAGGACTGCTCTCAAGCAGTTCTTTCGCAACTAAGAAATGTATTGTTTTTGCATAGATACTGCGAAACCTGGATTTCACAAGGTTCAGAGCACTGGGCTTCATAGCAATTCCCCTTAGAGCACTGGTTCCGGGCCCCATCCCCATGAACCCGTACAGTTTTGAAACCACATATATTTTATACCTGCCAACTCTCACGCATTATGCGTGAGTCTCACGCCTGCAAACTGAAGACATCGATCTCACGGATCACGGACAATTTCTCACGCCTGACTAACAAATCCGGAAAAATTGTTCTTTAACACGTAATTATTAACGAAAATTCAATTCAATTTGCACTAAAATATGCCAACAAAGTCGCTTAAAGAAAACTTCCTGTCCTAATCAAATCAAAACATGCTAAAATTGTCGTCTTCTGAAATAGCTTTGGAAGTCCTCAAAAGTCCTCGGAACATCTCCGGACAGTTTCGGCTACGTTCGGAAGTCTTCGGAAAATCGTCGGAAATCTTCGGAACTGCTGGGACGTTTTTTTCGAAATCCCGGTCATGACTTAATGAAAATCTCACCCATTTGACTCGGAAAAAGTTGGCAGGTATATTTTTACCCTGCTACGTGTAGACGGGGCCTTATAAACCACTTAAAAACTTTGGAGAGCGGTTTCGATGAGCAAATTCACTGGTTTCGTGTGGACAGAAGGTCGATTCGCGTAAAATAAAATATATATGAGTTTACAAAAATATACGGATTCGAGAGGAAAGGGCCTTATTTGCACAATACGCGTTTAGCTGTTGCATTTGCTCGCTGGAATTTTCTACTGCCCTTGAGCTTACAAACAACTAGACGCATATAAACGGCGTGAGCTGGGGCTTTCAAATAAAAGGCTCAAATAAAAAACGTTACCTAAGAAATCACAGCCTTCAAAGGCAACGTATATCGAAATAACAAGAGACAATATCTAAAGACGACGCTTGCGTGACTATAACGTATTAGATTGCAGTAATTGTATAGCAGAGGTCATAAAAACAATAGAGGATAAAATCAATGACATCAAAGCAAAGAGCAAGAATATAGTTACACAAAAGCTAATTGAAGTACTCAATTCATTTTCTGTTTCTTCTTTTGCAAAGCATGACCTAAGCTTAAATATAGAGGCATTCCAAATATCTTCGACAAGACTCTAGAGTTAATCAGACACCCTCTGTTCAAATTCCGTTGGTAGCTCACAACTTCGAAAGGGCTCCTTGATGAGGTTCACGCGAAAGATTTCGTTAGTAAACTGGTCTCGTCTGGTTGAACTGAACCCTTCGCTCGCCATGCATCTTTTACTGTAGGTCTAGAGATTACCAGCGTGTGCATTTGGTATAAAGATTTCACGTATAAGAAATGAAAGAACTCATTCTGGCGATCACGGAGTTCTATACACTGAATACAGATGGCTTTGCTCACCTCAGCAGGCAAGTGGACATGTGTTCTCGTTAAGTCTGCTGGCCTATTTTACGCATACTGTTATGCGCACGCGCTATATGCGCAGGAGGGTAATTTGTACCAGAACAAAAAACGAAGCCTATTTTATAGCTCGGGCGTCGCCATGGAAACGCCTAAGCAATAAATTTGCGTTGATCTTAGATTACGTTAATTCAGACCCGGTCTACACGATTCCGGACATTTTTAAAACCCAGATTATGTGGGAGGGGCTTTAAACCACTCTGGAGAGCAGTATTAAAAGGAGAAACTTCAACCAGTGTGCATTGCGGTCGTGCACTTCACCGAAATCATTTGCTGTAATACAAAAATTACGAACGTTCTGATCGTGTTTGAAAATCGGATTGTATCTTCACAACCTAAGAAAATAGCAGGCTGTGATACCCTTCTATAAAAGAAACATAGATACAATCCTGTTATCCAACGTTCGTGATTTCTGTATTACAGCAAATGATTTCGGTGAAGTGCACGCCCGCAATGCACACTGCAGTTTGGGTGAACGAATTGACTGGCTTCGTGTGGAAAAAGGCCGATTTGCGTAAAAAAAGTGTGTTTTCAAAAATATCCGGATTCGTGTGGCCGGGGCCTCAGTCAGTCATACAAAAATTATTATGAAACTAAGCGCGTGTTTACATGAGAAAACTCGCACCGGCGCGAGTTTCATACCGGGATGACTTTTTGATTTCGTGTCGCGTTTACATGATAATGGGTCATTTCATGTGTCGGTTATCTAAAGGTGCACTTCATGCTGATAAAATACACGTGTGATTGAAAATGGCAAACATTACGCATGCACTACCCGTTCCAGTCCACCTGAAGTCCGATTTCACACCGAAACGGGTGGTCGTTTCGCGTTTACATGATACCGTTGCGAAATTTGGCACCGGAGTGAAATTCTCGATCCGGTACAACAAACGGGGTGAACTCACGCCGTTGTGACTCGCGCCGGCATGACATTTTGTGGTGGTATCATGTAAACAAAGGTAAAGCCATGGGAGGGAACGGGAGTGAACTCGCGCCGGCGCAAAAGTGGCCCCGGTGTCATGTAATCACCCCCTAATGTTCTGTTCTACTGTAAGCCTTGAGACATTTTTTCCGCTCTAAACTCATTTCATGAGATACCTGACAGATATCCTTTCTTTGACAACTTCTTCAAAAATATTAATTCCAATACTCCTGAGGCTCTACCTTCTTTCCCTATTATTTGCGCCACTCAGTTTAATTTATGTTTGTACTGAAAAAATACTAGCAAATGTAACCTTTTGTTCCCTTTATTAATTTTTTTAAAAGAGAAATGTATTTTAGACAGGTAATAACAAGAATTGATCGGAAAAAAACATCAGTAAACCTGATTGTTTTTGATATCGCGAACACAGACAATATTAACTAAAAGCAAAACATTACAATTTCCTCCGAGACAAGCAATAATCCAGGTGTGGATCTAATTAAATCAATCTTACTTTAACATTCTAAACTGATCAACCCAGCAAATTTCCTCTTCTTGTTTCCCCGTTCATCTCCTTTTATTAAATCTAAATCCTGCCACTCAGCCCGGGGGGGGGGGGGGATCCCCTTATAAGGGCTTAATGGGGACCATGGGCCCACCCGGGTTTGTTTTTCGGGGTTTTTTCTTTTAAATGGGGATTGAATTTCTTATTTTTTTTTTTTATCCGGGGTACGATTTTTTAATTTTTTTCTTTAAAGAGAATAATGTATTTAAACGTGTAGTGACTCATCCCGTTTCCGCTTTTTTTTTTTTGTTTTTGTTGTTCTGTGTAAGTTAGTTTAATTTGTTGAAAGGGTGAGAAGAGAAAAGGAAAAAAAAGAAAAAGGGAGGAAGGGAGGGAGGGGGGTGGCGGGGGGGGGGGGGGGGGGGGGGGGGGGGGGGGCAGGTACTCCCTTATAAGGGCTTAATGGGGACATGCGGCCAGCCAGGGTATGTTTTTCGGGATTTTTGTCTTAAACAGGGTATCGAATTTATCATTTTTTGTCTTAATCAGGGTATCGATTTATTAATTTTTGTCTTAAACAGGATAAATGTCTTAAACAGGGTATAAAAAATCGGAATTCTGTCTTAAACAGGGTAGGAAAATCAGGGCCGCGCCGCACCTCCCCCCCCAGGGATATATCGAGTACCCCCCCCCCCGGCCACTCAGATACCGTCTCAGTCAAAGAGGGAAGGATATTAATTAATTGATAGGCGTCATAGTGAAGTTGTTATCTACTGACGTAAACAGTGCCTTCGAGTGAAAAGTATCGACCTTTGGGGGCGCCGTTTAAAAAGCGCGGCAAATGAGATCATATCGTGATCAAGCGTGACACTTCCGCGATGAAACCGGAAACGATTTAAACAAATAAAAAACATATTAACGCATTTACAGTCGCTAAAAATGCGTCAGACGCCCGAAAGGATAAACCTTTGAGCGTTTTTATAAGTCCATTTGCGCTTCAAAGCTTTTGTTATTGCAGATAGCATGTTTAGTGCTTTTGGCGTGTGACAGGCGTTACCCTTTCGCAGCATCATATTACAATTGTGTAGCACGCGATATAAACAAATAATAAACACCGCCAACACGTTGGAGCAGATTGTTCGTGAAACTGGCAAGGGAGGGTGAATCAAGACTTCAAAAATTTACGCATATTTAAAAAGGGCACCCTATTCACAGAGCGCACGTCGATAACTACGAGACAAAAATGTCACTTTGGAGAAAGATCCTGTTGATTTATATGCTCGCCCACCAAATACCGAACACGTTGAACTGGACAAGTGTGGGTAGGTATTAACTTATTTATAACACTAACACTATTCTATTAATAATCAATCTTTAATCTATCGACGCGCGCGACGACAAAAAGGTATCGAGACTCAAATCGTGCCCTTTAGTTCGAAAGTCCTATTAGCAATGAAATTTAAAGCAAATTAATTAACCAACGTTTGGAGAGTGTCGGAGAGTTAATCGTGGGAATATTAAACAAGAAAAAAAAGGCAGAATAAATACTTTATAATTGACTGCACGCTTGACTATATCTGAGATGGCTTCGACCGTATCCTGACCCTCCTGAATATAAAAATATATTGTTTTGAGTGTCTAATTTGTATCTCCGTGTTACTGAAGGATGGGATTGTAGTTGCAGGGGTAAATCTCCAATAACATAATAATGAACAAATCATAGAACGGAACCCATCATTTCCTTGTAAAGAGTGTTTTGATACTTGACTTCTTAAAAAGTTAGGTATGATTTTTTTCATCAAAACTTATACATGCATGTAACTATATTAAATTAGTGGCATAAATCAGTGGTAAAAAAACCGCGGATGTACGACTATGACAGAAGCTAGTCACGTACTTAATCATCGACTATTTTGTTGTTCCGGGAAATTCTACACCACCCAAAAAAATTGTCATAGATTAATACAAGGTTTGAAGGCATTTTATGAAGCTTTATTAATACATAGGAGATATAATTTTTACTTAAGGGTAGAAACAGGACGTATGTTATTAAAAAATCGGCATCTATTGATATCAGGTTTTTGCATGTTTTTAAAGCTGCAAATTACACTTCACTTGAACAAACAGAGATCAGGGATAAATTGCATTCTAAAGCAGTGTCTAAAGGTGACATGTGCATGAAAAAGTTTTGTCACTTTTAATAAAACATCCATTAAGAGCATTTGCGATCGTACATTGAGACGATAAAGCCCATAGTAGTACGTCAGTACCGCTCGATTTACCTTTAAATGATATCACAAGATTTTGATTTCTAGTCAGACTGTCAAAGCTGTACCTCGATTTTTCGCTAGAAGAAATCAAAATGTCAAATCACCAAATACAAATACAAACAACTTCTGTCAAGATATAAAGCCGATTTATTCAAAAAGTTGATTAAGAAAAAAAAAATTATTTGCAGTGCACTGGTCAATGTCGCCATCGAATGCAGTTTTACACTGCATTTGTTCCAACGCTGACGTGACCATTTTTTCCACTGTGAGCATGTGTGAGTGTAAATGTTAAAGGAAATCAGAACAAACAACCTTTCGACGGAAAGGAATTAAAGTCGTGTGTCTTCCCTAAACTGTAAGGGTCCGTTTCCTGCTTGATTATTTCATTTTTTGAAACTTTTATTTCTGCTGGAGCACATGGTATGTCAAAGATCCGGCAACTAGACTTTTGCGTTTTTCGTCAAGTTTTGCCGCCATGTTTAAACCACGTCTGTGAGTGCATGGCTGGCCGGATTCAACAAGTGTAGATAACAAGAACAACAGCCTTTGCCATTAAATCAAACAAGAGAGAATTTTTACATTTTATGATGGCTAATGGAAAGAAACAAAATGAGGAAACTTGAGTTGGAAGTGTCGTTAGAAAGTGTGAGCATGTGTGAGTGTAAATGTTAAAGGGAATCAGAACAAACAACCTTTCGACGGAAAGGAATTAAAGTCGTGTGTCTCCCCTAAACTGTAAGGGTCCGTTTTCTGCTTGATTATTTCATTTTTTGAAACTTTTATTTCTACTGGAGCACATGGTATGTCAAAGATCCGGCAACTAGACTTTTGTGTTTTTCGTCAAGTTTTGCCGCCATGTTTAAACCACGTCTGTGAGTGCGAGGTTCGCCGGATTCAACAAGTGTAGATAACAAGAACAACAGCCTTAGGTATTAAATCAAACAAGAGAGAATTTTTACATTTTATGATGGCTAATGGCAACAAAAAAAATGAGGAAAGTTGGGGGTGTCGTAAGGAAGTTAATTTTGTTCATCGTAGCGTAGACTGTTCACAGTCCCCTATTTTTCCGTAAGATCGTCGAGATCGAGCGCTTTACGTTACGGACTGCCATCTTGAATGAGTGTCAACACTACTTAGAGCTATAATCCCCGAAGCTTGCCCCCTCGGTACATTTGAAAATCAAGATGGCCGCCATTAATGGTAAGACGCGCTATATCTCGACGATCTCACGGAAAAATGGGGGACTGTGAACAGTCTAATCGTAGCGCAGTATAATCGTTTTTCGCAAGACGAAAACTGATTTGTATTCCAAGTAACATAACGTGTGGGCAAAGGCCATTGGAGGGGCGGGTATGATCAGAGGCTATTCTTAAAGAATTCAAATCCACTAGGAAAAATTAGACTCGCCTATATTTGACAAATTGGGCGAGCTGTAATATCGAGTAAGTTTTCGCTGCTGTCGCCGTCGTGTTGCTAAAGGAATAAGTGACCTGTTCTTAACTCTCGCCGTTGTGTTGCTTAAGAGCTCTACTTTCATTTTTTTTTTCAGAACCTTCATCAAAACCAACACGAACGCCAGCAGCAAAATCAGTCCGAACACGAACAGCAGCACTAAGCCTAAGCTCAAACTTAACGGCAACACCAACCGCAACAGCAACACTGAGCCTAAGCTCAAACTTAACAGCACCACCAACCGCAACAGCAGCATTAAGCCTAAGCTCAAACTTAACAGCAACACCAACCGCAACAGAAACACCAACCGAAACACCAACGCCAATACGAAAACCGGCTCCGATACCAAAGGCAACACCAAAACCAAAACCAAAATTGCGCTGCTTTTTGTGCTTTTCGGAAAATTCTTGGGAGCACTGTGACGAGACAAGTAGGGTGGTCGACTGTAAACCCGGTTTCGATGAAGCCTGTCTTAAAATGACACAGAATGAATGGGAAAAGAAGAATGGAACCAAGACAGGCAAGGTACTCACACGCTACATGAAGTACTGTGCTAAGAGTGAACAGTGTTCCGACACTCAATGCAAAGAAATGGGATGGCAATGCAAGGTGGACTGTTGTACAGAAGACTTGTGTAATTCAAATGCTGCTGTTTTGACAACATCATCACACCATCACTACATCGTCACACTCATTCTGACTGCCGTCGTAGGCCTAGCAGCTGTACCATAAACAGAGTACTCGCGCACCATAGTCGTCTACTTGCTTTGTTCTTATTCACAAAAAGCTGGCATATTTATACGTCCTAAAACGTTCTTGAAAACTTTACCTCGGGCTAGCAGTTTTGGCTCATAGCGTCCTTAAGTTCAGAAGAGTGCAACACAATAGGTTTCATTTGTTTCAAGCATAAAGCATAGAATTCTAAAGAAAACCTAGTTGAACCGTTTTGTTCCGTAGTATGTCAAGTAGTTTCGATTCTTTCCAGTAGTTTAAGAGCTGTTAGGTACTCTATCAAAGATCCAAAACAGTAAAAAGGATACCCTATTACATTCACGGACCGACTACCTAAAAAACCACACCCTATCTGAAAAGCATAAATTTGAGAGTGCAGCCCCCGTATAAAACGACGTACTCAAACTATAATTTTTTCAACATGAGCAACCATCCAAAGGTGCTGGTATTCATCTCCGAAAATCTGTTTCTCAACGAAACTGTAACAGTCAAGTCAGTTCCCTCAGGCCTACGGTCTAGAACTGGAATTTATCAAGACACTGCAGTTACATTCATCTAACCGCTTCGCACCAAACCAACAACTTATTGGACTGAAAATATTCCACTCTTAGTGTTAATTACTGATGAAGCTATTACAAATATTCCTATAATTCCAGCTCCTTTAATCTTGCAGAAACAAAGAAACGCCTCAAACGAAACTGAGTTCCTCTAGGACAAAAGTCTTCCTTTCTGGATTTTCTGGCACAAAAACACTTCCTCCCTCTCTGTGAACCTCCGAACTATTTATTCAGTTTTTAAGTTTGTAAAGATTTTCATCCAGTTTGGTAATGTAACATTAAGTTAGGCGAGTAGATATAGAAAAATCAAAACAAAGAAAATAAAGAGCTGGAAACATCGAGATCATATGCAGATATTTCGTTTTCGCTTAGTATCATTACTAAATTAAGACACACCATGTTAGAGTATAACTTCATAAAAGCATATGCACGGATCACTTAAAAGTGAATTGATATTACGTAACTTAAATAAATCTAGTGGACGCTAAATCAAGTGTCAGTCATAAAAATGAGTTATATTGTAGGTTTTGATCCGATTTCCAGCATTAATTTCACTGAAATTCATCAAGATTCCACTGGCGCACAATTTTTGTGAACATAAATGTTATAAATACCAAAAAAGGACGAAAACAGTATTGGAGGAGAGTTTCAATTCAGAGTTACTAGTTTCCTAAAACTGAAGATTGGCTACCTTTTACGTAGTTTAAGAAGTTACAATTTCGTATACCCTGAAACTACGGTAAAGTCAATCTTTTCATAAAGAAAATTAACGGAGGAAAGCTATTTAACTTAATTTATTGAGAGATATAACCAAAATAATTCAGATTCTTCATCAAAATACATATAAAAGCTACAATTAAAAACGAGTTGTGCTAAGAAAAGGATGTAGATTGCGCGCGCTGGCGGATTTTGCTGCCTGTATATGCCGTTGTAAAAGACTTGAGGCAATTTTTTTTTTTCATTCGCTTCCTGTCTCAGTAGTAGAACCTAAATGTGTTATTAATCCGAGCGATTGTCGTACGCTTTTTAGTGAAATTTCTTTCAGTCCTGAGAAAGCGTCCCTTGAAAAACTCCGCCATAAAGCCGTGTCGCATTCGCGTATAAATTGACGCGTATGCATTGAGGGTATAACCCATGCGTGGGCCAAAACTAGTTTTTTTTTAGCTTTATTTTAAATAAAAGAGCACGAGGTTTCTGTGTAGTTTTGTTATTATATCACGCATTTGCAAATACCGCATAATCGTTCATTTCCGTTTTGAGCAGCTAATTACAACACCTGCGATTCGTATTAGATAAACTACTTTGTATCACAATCATATCATTTGAATAAGTACATAAGGCCCGGTTCAAACGTCGAACTTTACATGTGCCCGAACCTAATACCTATTTAGGTCGACCCAAACTATTAAGTTCGACTGTTGATTCAGAACTTTACATGTGCCGAACCTAAAACGTGGCGAAAAGAAATATCATCCTTACTGCTTAACATAGGGAAATAAAACGTCGAATTTTACATGTGCCGAACCTAATTATTAGGTTCGGCACATGTAAAATGTGCCGAAAAATCAAGAAAACCAAAACAAGAATTTCCAGGGTTGGTGAATTTTACTTTTTTTCAGTTTATTTCCCTAATTTAAGCAGTAAGGATATTTCTTTTCGCCACGAAAAAGGTTCGGCACATGTAAAGTTCGACCGTCTGAATCAACAGTCGAACTTAATAGTTTGGATCGACCTAAATAGGTATTAGGTCGGCACATGTAAAGGTCGACGTTTGAACCGGGCCTTAAAGCAGTAAGTTTCCACTGTCAGTGTTATCAGGCTGTAACCGGTAAAATTTATGGCCTGAAGCAACACTTCTTACTGCCTCAGTGCAACCGCTTGAAGGTTTACTAAAATTTAAAAAAGTAGATTTTGAAAAAAGGAAGTTGTGATCTGATCCGATTCTCCCAAGGAAAATGAATAGATATGGAAAAGTACTAAAGTATACACAGCTTTCCTTTTTATGGGCCATGCATTTTGGAAAGAGAACATTGCAGACAGTGTAAAATTATTGAGATCGAACGTTTGAAATTGTTGTCTTAAAATAACAACGACCGATTTGCGTATAATAGGTCTTAGAATGAGGGAATGATGTTTCAGAGAACTTAGCTCCTCAATTTCCCCGCGAGGGCGGGGCCTTGTCCCTCACGCCACTACCCCCTCCTCTCCCCCCCCCCCCCCCGCCATTTTTTCCCCCCCCCGCCCCCCATAGTCCCCTCCCTCCCATGACAACTATTATGTCAAAAAATAATTTTTCTCCACATAAACACCAAAACACCAAAAAAAAACAGCACAAAAGGCAACACACAAGAAATCAACACAAACAACAGCCAGAAAAAACCACGCCGCCACCTA